TAATATGTGCTCGGCCTGGGCGCTCTCATCAGAACGCACAGTTTGCGCCACTATTACCTTGCAAAATATTAATTTGTTCGCAACTTTTTTATATAACTATATTTTGATAAATATTTACTTTTTACATTAGAATAAGGTTCACATTGCAATCACATGAAATAACGAAGGTATAAAGTGATGTGTAAACATTTTCTTAAGCATAAACAAAAAAATTGTGTTCTATTCCTGTTTACATATCGAAATAATTTTTTATAGTGATTGCTCATATAAAATTGTTTGTAGATACTGTAATTTATTTACAATGTTAATGCAAAAACTCCACCTTTTTATCTCAAATAGCAAGCGCTTGCTATAACTCATTACGTACAATTATCTTTCGTGTGGTGAGGTGAGTGACTGGCCAGACCCCAAGTGTCTTGCTGGAGAACACCTCCCAAAACCCAAGAGTGTTAAAGACTTTCATTGTTGAGTCCAACAATAACATTATAACAACAACAATTGATGCAATATTAACAGAAAATTTGTTAGTGTATCTTTGCAGTCACTTTGTTAAAATCGCTACAGCGTGCATCCCGTCTTCATCATCTTCTATTGCTACCTTTTAATTAAAAAAAAGGATTGTATCATAAAGGTATAGTAATTGTATATATGGTACATTATTTGTACCACAGGTACATTTGTTCAGTGAATATCTTTGGAAGGGTCTCTTTGGTTTATGGATAATTTGACTCGTGGCATGAATAGGAAATAATCCCACAGCTGTATAAATTGGTTTGTAAACTTTCAAATGATTTGTGGAAACAATGGTCCAATGATTATTTGTTAGCTCTTAGAGAATCACATAGGATTCAACAAGCCAATAAAGGTCCTTCTCCACCAAAGGTTGGCGACGTGGTATTGATTCACGATGAAGGGCCTTGTCTAATGTGGCGACTTGGCTGGATCATAATGTTATTCCCTGGTCTGGATGGGGCCTGTAAAGTGGTTCAGTTGAAAACTGGAATTGGTCTTACTACTCTTCCAGTTGTAAAATTGTACCCAGTAGAAAGTGACTGTGATGGTGAACCAATTCCTATGCAAACGGATATTGCTCAGTCTGACAGGAACAATACAAATTCACGTCCAAAACGGCTGGCCGCTTTGGGGTCAGCCCAATTATGGCGCCCCATGATTGGCGAAGGCCAATTATATTGTAATATTGTATTAATTTGGTGGCGGGAATATATCGTCACTGCTAATCTAATATATGTTGAATAGCAGAACAATAGAAATAATGTAAGAAATTTAGTTTGGGAGTTATATATATCTTGCATTTAATTTAGCTTATATTTAGTTAAAATTATATTTAATAATTATCTGAATTGTAAATAATTACTCCTGATTTAAATAAGTCTTGCTTGAGTCTACATTCCTCATTCCTTTGTATGTGCGCACATCCTACCAGCTACCATTGAATGTCAAATTACCTGCCATCGTCAGTTCCTTAACAATCCTGACCAGAGAAACAAAACACTCGCCACCTTCAGTAAAAACCGGCGATCAGGGAAGGGCTCACCAACTAAGCTCAACCATTAATTTCTGACTTCCATCCACATCAGCAAACCTTGAATGTCAGTATATATTGAAGGATATCCTAACATTATACTTTGAGTGTTTATTTAATGTACAGTCAACCCTCACTTTACGCGGTTAATGTAACCCGCAGGGTCCTGCGGAAAGTGAGGAACGCGTAAAGTGAATAACATAACATATGGGATTAATTGAAATAGAGTCCGGGCCGACCCCCAAACTCCACTTTTTGACGACACACAACTATGTTGTAGTAAAAATTTTATCTTAACTTTATGATGATGTACAGTTAACCCTCACTTTACGCTGTTAATGTAACTCCTAGGTCCCAAGCGGAAAGTGAGGAACGCTGTAGCACAACATAACATATGGGATTAATTGAAATAGAGTCCGGGCCGACCCCCAAACTCCACTTTTTGACTATACACAACTATGTTGTAGTAAAAATTTTTCTTAACTTTATGATGGTATGAAAAACAAGTAATATAGAAGAGGTTAGGTTAGAAAAATAAAGGTTAACATAGGAAAATAAAAAGGTTAGGTTAGGAAAACTAAAAGTTATGTGGAAATCACTTACGCTAGTAGAAGAGATGGGTCGGCATACGATGGAGGTTGGTTCCGGTGCAGGCAGATTACTGGCCCCTCAGGTGAATCACCATTACTAGGTGAATCACCATCACCAAGTCACTTACAGTTGTCAGGGCTTCCCTGACAAATCCCTCAAAGTCATCTTCACTGTCACCACCACTGGTTTGGGCTGGCTGTGGTGGGTTGCGGCTTATTAGAAATCTGTTATGCTTTGTTGACGGCTGGTGTTGATGTTGTCGCGGATACACCTTGGATGTAGGGTCTATAGTCTGCAACAGCTGGGTAGTGAAGATTTCATACCTGTTTAAGGCCAGGGTCATTGAAAGGAGGAGCTTGGCTTCGATACACCTCGATGGCACCCCTTAACATTACTATGGGATAAGTGTTGTTCTTCTTGGGATGACGCACCACCTGCCTCTCACTGACGCCGCCATCATCATCATCTACCATCTCCTCGTAGTCACATCAGGTTCCATTATCACCCAGGATGTCGCCGCTGTAGTCCCGAGAAGCCTGAACTGTAACAGTTCGGGCGCAGGCTCTGGCAAGGTCCACTGCTACTGCAACAGTCTGAACCTCTCACCAGTCACAGATTGAATCCTCCTCTCACCTGGTATTCCATGCAACACATGTCTCCATGCGGACGAATTGTATAATAGACAGTTGATCCCCATGACTCCACCAAGAAGTCCACAGCTTCTTTGATGTTAAATACTCTCCAGAATTGTTTGAACAGTATTTTGCTGTGCCAACTGCTGTCCTCATCTTCTTCGCTTCTTAAGCATATCGGTGGTGGTGTCACTCACAGGTTACAACTCTTCCCTGGTGTTGGTGTAGTCGCTCAGGAGTTTGAATTTTTTCGTAGAGAATGCAGCTTTTACATTACAGATAACTCTCAACGGCTGTAATATAGACTTAGGTGTTGGGAGGAAGGAAGACCATCACTTTACGCTAGTGACGATCTAACAGTAGGGCGAAAACTGGGTGCTGTCCACAGCAACAAAATCTTGAAATGGCACATTCTGTTGCTCACAGAATTTCACATCGAAACAGTCATCAAACCAGAGAGGGACAGTAAGAATCATCCACGCCTTTACGTATGTGTCGTAGCCAGTGGACATTTAGCTTGGTCATGCCCATGGTTTTGTAGGCGCAAGCGCTTCATGCAGGTGCTGTGTGGATCACCCATAACTCTGTTTTACTGGTACCGAGGCATTGGTGGTAAACAGGACGGTGGCGCGCTCTTCTGCATCTTCCTCGTCCCTAATCTTGCTGGCATTCTTACAACGGCGACTTGGAAGGTAGCTTTTTCCAGAAAAGACCAGAGCCCGTCCATGTTAACACCTGGTCGTCACTGTACTGTCCTTCCTCCAATCTCACGAAAACGGAGGAAATCTCGAAGCCGCAGCACGGTCAGCACTTGCTTCTTTTCACCACCAATGTTTATATTGATGATCTTGTTCCGGGATCTTAAACCTCTGTAACCACAATTCAGAGGAAGCATTAAAGGGTTTGGGCTCTGTAGTTCTTATCTTCGCGCTACCGCCATGTACAGTTCGCGCGTAGTTCTTAATATAGATGCTGTCGACCGCCATGTTCACACGCTCGACGCACTGCTACCCGCTACAAGTAATTTTACTGTCTTGAGAAGCACCTGGTTGTGAAAATATACTTGATCATAGAAGCACCTGTAGACTTTGTGATCTTCATATGTGCTCCTTTATCTTGGCTCCATCCTTCTTATATTGTTCTAATCAGAGATTCATTCACACACCATGCTGGCGCCACTAAATCAACCTGCCTTGTTCCTTTCTTTCTCCAACTCTTGGATGATGGTATACTTCACCGTAGCGCCATGAACGCCGGTTCTTTGGCTAGTGCCGCTGGGTCCAGGTAAGGAAAGGTTTCTTCTGGGGTGGTGGTCTGGCGAACCATTTTACAGAACAATGGATGCACATTTACACAGTCTGGCGTGGAGGTTCTAAAACACAAGCAGGTCAAGGATCATCTTTCCTCCCTCCTCCCTCCCCCGGTGGACACGTCATAATACTTTAAGCCAATTACAGCTAGCAGCAGAGGGGGTAGGGATGCATGGCCAATCACAGTCCGATATCGCCATATGACGCCAGTGATAACGCGAACAAAGACACACACACTGCGAACCCACCGCTACGCTTGCCTGGGCTGTGAGTGTAGGAGGAGGGAGAGGCTTAGAGCACAGGCAGGCAGGCGGTGGGGCTTAATCTAAAATACGACCTAAAATAGCGCACGGACACTCTCCACGGAATGGGTTCACGACCGCTGAATGTGAGCACGTTAGGTTCTGGCAAGGCACCGCTAGGACGTGGAAACGCGGAATGTGGGACCGCGTAAAGTGAGGGTTGACTGTATATAACGTATATAATGTATATACTAACCGATTCAGGACACATTCGCACATGGCCACACATAGGCTGTGTGCGTGGGACGGGGTCATGATGGAGAGTGAAAGGCAGCCATTCATTACATTGAACCACTGCTTTTAGAAGTTTGTAAATCAAATTTATCATACAATATTGTAGTTCTAAGTTGTACTGCTTAGTTAATTTTTTCTAAGTACTCCCTGTATAATCTGGATGGACACTCGCAATGACAATGTATAAATCTTACAATAACCCAAACTGTAGAGTCCTGCACAATGGTTGTTAGATCATTTAAACTTTATGTGTGTTGGTGGGGAGGTTTGGCACGACTCACCATCAAGTAAGGGTGGAATGGCCTGCTCACCCTCCGGCCTGATTGTATCACGAGTTCTTGACCCCAACTGTTTTTTAAATACTGTATGATATTTGAACATTTCCTAGGTACCTCCTGGATGGCATGTGTGTGCTAACTGTGAGAGTACTGCACCACCTCGTTCACGTCACTGCATTACCTGTAATGCTTGTGTGATGAAGAAAGAACATCATTGCATCTTTACTGGATGTTGTGTTGGTCTTGGAAATCACAGATACTTCTATATATTCCTCTTCTTGATGTGGGGATCAACACTGTATTGCTCCTTCCTGAATTCTTTCTTCATTTGGCCTTATGTAGGTGAGTTGTATATTCTGTAGAACTTTGGGGTGATCGTTTTTTTATTGATATTAAGGTAGAAACGAAACAAATTTAAAAAGTGACTGGAAAGAGAGAACTTGTAAATTCTTGTTTATAAAATGTACCCTAAAAAAAGACAGTGGGATATACTCACATGGAAACTCCTGGGTTTCAAGAATGATCCTTCAGTCACAAGAAGGGGCTTTCAAATCCAGGACCTTCAAGGGAATGATTACTCCAGCACATACATAGTAAAGGGACAATTTGCCATCTTAACATAATTGTAAAATCAGTCTTGGGCCTTCAGTTTATTTTGTAATTTACTTTTGATGCATAGGGATAACTCATAAGTTCTGAGTAGGACTAAACAAATGAACTCATATTACAGTACTTAAGATATTTAAAAAGTAATGGGTATCATCCTTAGAGGTTATGACAGTAATGTACTAGAAAAATTCAAAAGCCCAGCAGTAGTTTAAGCTTATGAAGAATCAAGAGGGATTTTTACAGTGCTCCAGGACAAAGAATAACTTTAGTTTTGGAAGAAAAGTCATGGTACAGTATAGTACTGTATAAAAGGAGTACTGTACCCCTGTATACTGTATATAGATGCACTGAGAATATAAAATACCAAAGAATATTACATGTAGAATTATCCCTGTAAGAAATAAGACTTACAAAATAATGTCCAGTGTTGAATTTATTTAAAATTTTAAGGTGTACAGTATGGGAATAACTACCATTGACTGTGTTTCAGGCGGATTCAATATGTGGGCTTTTGTACGTCTGGTATTGCCTGGTGTGTGGCTGCTGTTGGAGCCATCACTGGACACCCTCTATGCCTTCTTGTTTTCCATTAATGTCATCGGCTTTCTCTTCATGTCCGTTCTTATGTATTACTACACCGGACTGCTGATAATGAACATGACCACTCATGAAAATAATCATCGTAAAGGCCAAAAATATGATCATGGAAGAGAGCATAACATAAAGGTAAGTCTAATTATACCAATGATTTATAATATAATGCTGGTTCTCATGTAAGTGCTTGTTTATAGCCAATGGGTTATTGAGGAGTGACCTGTGATACTGCCACCAGAACACCCCTGAATGAGCCTCCTCTTGATAGGGCCTTGACCTATTTCAGTGGCAGGTGTACCTAACATTACCTAATCTCACCACAACTGCTCTTTACTTCTCACCCGGTGAACAACTTATTTGAAAGGAATGTGTTAAGCTCCTTGTATTGCAGTTGCTTCAAGTGCTTGTTTGGTGTCATGATCATTAGACACAAGTCCTGAGATAAACTTCTTGTGAACCATGCATTATGCTCTCTTATATAACTCGACTAACCAATAGAAGAAGAAAAAATCGTGTTTTGAATCTCCATTTTCAACTTGTGTTTTGCGTTACAGGTGACATTAGGAGAACGGTGGTATTGGACGTGGGTGTTTCCCACGTTATCTTCCCCCTTGCCTTATGACGGCTTGGATTGGTCTTTGCAGAGTGGGGAGAAAAGTGTTCGCCCCAAAACTAAGTGAAGCATCAGTATTGTTAGTAATCGTTCCTGCCACTCATGTTAATGCCAAATGTCAGACCAAGGCTACTGTGATCGGCTGGAAGTACAAAATACTTATAAGTTTCACTAACTGTACTGTATTGAGATGCACTTTGTACTCTAGTTCTCGTAAGTATTTGTCTGCTTAAATTTTTTTGCATTTGACCTGTCACAATTTTATGTAGGATAAGTAAAAAAGTAATGTATAAGTATAAGGAAATTCAGTATATATATATTTATATATATATATAATTTAGAAATGAGACAATTTAATGCTTGTTTCATCTACTTGCTTAATTCTTAGATAACATTGCCTGTTTTGAGGAAGATGGCTCAGGTAACTTTTTCAGCTAGAGATGTTTTCACAGCTTTAATGATCTTTTATCCTTTATCCTCTTCGCCACTTATGGGTTTGTTAGCTACTTGGGCAGTCGGTCACGTCTCTGATACACCCTGTTGGCAGATACTGGGCATGTACTGGCTACTGAATATATCTTAACCTGCTCCAGTGTTGGTCAAGTCTGGCCTTCAATGAGCTCACTCCCGGTGCCGTCACAACGCTCTCTGCCAGATTGTTCCAAGAGTTCACAATTCTCACTCTGAAAAAAATTTGCCTTCACAGTTTTCTGGACTTGTGGCTTCTTCAACCCTGAGCGGTGACCCCTTGTGGGACAGTTTTCTGCCAACTCAAGGTATGTATATTCGAGCGAGTAGTGCCCCCTGAGATGTTTATACACTTCTAATTGGTCATCCCTCGCCCTTCTGTAGTATAAGCTCGATAGTTGCAGGCGCTCCAATCTCTCTGGGTAACTGAGGTTCCGTAGAGCAGGCAGCAGTTTGGTGGCCCTCCCTTGGACTTCAGTCAATTGACAATATATAGCATACCTTGGGGACCAGACGGGGTGACAATACTCCTGATGGGGAAGCACCTCATTCTTGAAGATCGTGACGAGTGATGGACTATCCAGATATCTAAACAACCTTCTTATAAGACCTAGTAGTTTCATTGCCTGATTCACCTTCTTCTCACAATGGCACGAGAAATTGAGTTCATTGTCGACATACACACCCAGGTCCTTTTCACATTCTGTCTCAATTAATGCAGTCTCTTTGTCCTGTTGGTACATGTGATACGCTTCCTTACTATTGGTGTGACCCAGGTGCATCCTTTTGCACTTCGTGACATTAAATTTTAGCAGCCATTTCCTCGACCATTCTTGAAGCTCATTGAGATTTTTCTGCAGCTCTTTACAGTCTGTTTTGGTTTTTAATTTCCGTAAATAACTTGGCATCGTCTGCAAAAATTTGTATGGAGGAGTGTATAGCTTCTGGCATGTCATTAATGAAACAGTCAAACAACAGCTGGCCCAATACACTGCCCTGTGGTACCCCGCTAGTCACAGGTACACATGGCGATTTCATACCATTTATTACCATGCACTGTTTGCGGTCATGCAGAAAGTCTCTGATCCACATGAGGACACTTCCCCGAATCCTGTACCCTTCCAGTTTAATTTTCAGTCTTTCATATGGTACATTGTCAAAAGCTTTGGCAAAATCTAGAATTTGAGTTCAAACATCTAGTACCTTGAGGTTGTTTCGTAGCAGATGTTTCGTCATGGCATCTCTTACGATGCTTTCTATTACTTTGCACACACTGCTGGTCAGGCTCACTGGTCTATAATAATTTGTGGAGTGACGATCACCCTTTTTGAATATAAGACTCACAAAAGCAATCTTCCAGTCGTCGGTGACATTTTGCTCCTCCAGGGGCTCCGAAAACTTGTTACACAGTTTTCTTTACACTCTGGGGTGGACCATATCTGGGCCGGGACTCTTATGAATCTTTCTCTTTGACAGTTTTTTCTTATAACCTCATCCGAGAACACAATGTGGGTCAGCACTGTGTCAAACCATCTTTCCTCAAATGCAGGAAGATTGTTTGCACCCTCTCTTGTTGTTCGTGCTCTGGGTAATAAGTTCAATATACAGGAGCGAACACAAACATCTGTATAGATTTTGTAGGTTCGATTTACTGGATAAGAGATATGTACACAAGGGGAGTAGCGCTCTTCAACCTGTCCGCTGGTCAACTGCTCTATGGACGACGTATGGCAAGTGAGACATTACAGCTTCCATACGTCGCCAGGCACATTAATTAGGCATGTGGGACATCTTAAATATATTGCCACACGCTACTAGCTAGGCTGAATAAATAGTACATAAATGGAGCACATACATAATATACATAGCATAATATAAATACATATACAGAATATACATACACCTCCCTCCCCCCTATACGCTCATAGCAAATTCTTGAGCGGACCTTTTCTTTTGGATCCGTTCTGAGCGTCGAGGGACTAGATCACTGGGAAGGGTATGGGGCTCAACACTGGTGGCGGGGTCAGCAGAAGCATTGTTACGGGGTGGAGAAAACAGTGGTTCCTCCACCACACACGACCACTGGGTAACCGCACCTGGTAGTCCCGTGACCTACCGAGACCCATGACTACGCCTGCTTTGTCCCAACGTAGGGAGGTCGGGTCCTGAACACGGACTTGGGTGCCGACACTCAACCTGGGGAGAGAACGGGCATGGTCGTTGTAGCGGGCGACGACGTCCTGAACACGTTCGGCGGCTCGGCAATCACAATCCTCTGTCTTGGCCTGCCACTCCTTGGAGAAGGATTGAGGGTGAGCAGGGACACAAGAACGAAGGGGGCGTCCATACAAAACCTGGGCAGGGGAGCGTCCGGTGTAGTTAGGTGTGTTGCGGAGTTCAAGAAGACCCCGGTCGAAGGCCTCGCAGTCAATGTTCCCAGAAGGGGCCACCTTAAGGATGAGGTGCTTCAGGGATTTGACAGCAGCCTCAGCGTGGCCGTTGGACTGCGGGTAATGGGGCGATGACAACACATGCCGGACTCCCCATCGGTCAAGGAACACAGCAAAGTCCCGGCTTGTGAACTGAGGCCCTCCGTCGGTTCGCAGGCGTACAGGAACGCCCACGTCACGGAAGTAGTGGCGGAACTTGCTGATGGTGGCGGCAGACGTCGTGTCATTACCGCACTTGATGACAACCGGCCAACCAGAGAGACGGTCGACGATAACAAGGAAGGACTTTCCTGACACAGAGAAAAAGTCGGCCGACACAGACTCAAAGGGGCGGGTGGGGTTGTCGTCACTCATAAAGGGTTCCTGCTGCTGGCTGGGTTGTAGTACGTGGCGGGGCTTACACACCTGGACAGCATTGGAGATGTCGGGGTCGATGCCAGGCCGGAACACAGTCTGTCTTGCATGCCGTTTGGTGGCCTCGGCTCCACAGTGACTGTCGTGGAGGCGAGCCAAGGCGTGGAGACTTGAAGCAGCAGGGACAACTACGGAAGGAGAGGTGTCACTGGCCAGAGGTAGGGGTAGGGCGGCAGCAGGGTAGTTGCTGCTCCTTTCGTGCACCCTGTTGGCGTATTTTACCTCGAGAATCGGTGTTGGGAAGTCCTGGGAGATGATGGCCAACTCTTGACAATGTCTGTAGGACAGCAAAAGAGTCGGGACACCATTATGCACGTCAATCCAGGCTTGACACGACCTGTTGCCAAAGGTGACATGTGCATAGAGTGAACCTAGGGCCGGGGTCATCTGTGAACCATCTGCCGTAAAGCGGAGATCCTTGGGAGGCGGTCCTAGATCACTTGGAGAGAGCCCCAAGCATTGCAAATGCTGGGGACCGATGACCGTAGCCTCAGCGCCGGTGTCGGGCAGCATCTCGAGACAGGATGACACATTGCCGTAGGTCACGATGACGCTGACGTGCTGGGAAACTTTGGTCCTGGGACGCGAGGAGTACACCCTCCTAATATGGGTCGGGCTTTGTCCAGGGTCGTCGTGCTTTTGAATGGAAGACTGCGGGCGGCCCTTACTGGTAGAAGGGCGCTGAAGCTTCCGCCGACGCTGTCCCTTGGGTTTGCTGGTAGGGCAACACTTATCATAGTGGCCCAGACGACCGCACACATTGCACTGGACGTGTTTAGCTGGGCACCGTACTGTGAGTGACCAGTGGCCCTTACGATCACAACTGTTGCATGTAGACTCAGCAGCTGGACACACCTGTGTTCCGTGCTGCTTACCACAGTTGTTACAAAATGAGCCGGGCGTGGACGTGGTGGGCGAAGGCGTAGGAGCAGACTTTTTGTCCTTCCTGTACCGGGACACAGCGCGTACAACTGTAGGGGGAGCTCGGATGGCAGAGGTGGCACACCTGGCAGCCTCATAGGAGCGACATATCGTCAACACATCCTGAAGAGAAGAGGAAGAGTCGAGGGAGGTGAGGCGTTGGACAAGCTCCTCGTCCTTAACACCCATCAGGATCACCTGCCTCAACTGGGTCTCCTCGCACTGCTGGTGGTGGCCTAGACATATATCTACCTCTTCCGAGGCTCTCTTAAGACGTACATAAAAGGCGTCAAAAGTCTCACCCTCCATCTGTCTGCAGCTAAACAATTCCCTCCTGCGCAGAGCTTCATTCTGCTGTCCTTTGATGTGCCGTTGTAGAATGTCCAGTACCTCCTCTACAGACAACGAAGAGGTCGGAGGTACCTGCAACGTATGTTCTAAGACACGCTGAATTTCCAAGGACAGGCACATACGCAGCTGGATGAGTTGTTTAGGCTGTGACAAACTCTGGAGATCCACCATTGTAGAATAATCAGTCCACCGTCGCCGCCATTCACGAAAAGTCTGGAAATTCACATCAGGCTTCAAGATGGGCGGTGTTTGAGCTGCTGCTTTAGGTGGGGCTGGGGGGCGTGAAGGAAGCATTGATGAGGTATCTGAACCAGTCAGTACCGAGGCAGTGTTAGAGCCAGGGGCTTGGTTAACAGTGAGGCGAGATATCAAAGCTTCAAACCGTGCACTGTCTTCCAATCTCCGTTGGTGGTCTTTCTCTGCCTCTGCTTGCCTTCTGTGTTCATCCGCCACACGTCTGTTAGCTTCATCCTCGCGCCTTTCATCTCTCATAAACTTCATTAAAGCAATTATCTCTGGAGACAACGCTGAATATGGAGGTGAAGGGCTGCGCAATGTTGTGGGAGCTGGAGCGTGTGGTCAGCCTGGTCATCCATCTCTGCGGGGCTATCATCCGCTTGACTCATCCAGGCGCTGGGTCCACGGCTACGTAAGGCATGAGACATAACTACTTCATCAGTGTACTGTGTCTTAAATCAGTGTTGACCGGTCAGCCCGTCGTATCAACAAGATCTCAGACAAAAAATTAATTAATTACACAGATAAGTCGTTTATATATATAAAATATATATAAGGAAATCGCCGATGTCAGTGTGTTAGTACATGTATGTGTGTGTGCCAGGCGGGTGAGAGCGTCTCGCCTCGAGCTGTGAGGGGGGGTGGAGACGACGACTAGCGGCA